AATATTTTGTAAATTTCCTACTGTAAATATATCAAAACTTAATTTTTGATTAGTAATATGCATTGCTAAGAACTTCATTTGGACAACTTTAAAGGGAATTTTCTCAGTATTTAGATTTTTTTGCACCCTCAGATTCCAGATTTTCAAATAGTTGTATCTCAAGCAAATATTGTCCTATCCTAACAAACCATACATCAATGGAAAGCTTATTTGTTCAGCTTTGATGATGTATAAATCTGAATTTTAAAGAAAATGACCCTTATGACTGGTTTTGTGGTCTAGGGTCACATTTGAGTAATATATTTCTAAATGCATAGTGTAAGCAGTGTAACTTTTATTTATTCTTATTTAAAAGAAAGGAGCATCGAATTTTCAAATTATTCAGAACATGTAACTTATATTCCAAAAATAAGTATTGTAAAATATTTTTTTGTTGTGTTTTATCCTCTGGTATGGCTAATCTGAGATAATAAAACTTTAAAATGAGACACATGCAGCCAGACCTTATTGGGAGCATAATACTCCAATCATAAAAACAGTAAAGCTAATGTCAACACAGCATAATAGTTATTAAGACAGTATTTTCATTTTCTGTCTTGCTATCATGATTTACTCACATTCCTCTGGGACCTGTTGTTAGAATTAAAATGGTGTCCCAGTAACAGTGAGGCTTTATAATTATTAAATGATAATGTCAGGCCTTGAGCACTGTAACCTGTTTAAAATATGTGCCAGACATAGAGTCGGATTGTCTCTAATGTAATGCTGTTCTTCTGTGTGCAAATGGTCATGTAAAGATGACTCATTGAGAAAATGAGAGGAAGCCTATGTGAAATGTGTGTAAGAAGACTCATGCACATTAATAACAGGTTTAATAGCATTCTAAAACTCCTCGGTATGTGGCAGAACAAGATTTGTTGTCTCTCACTCACACACACACACACACACACACACACACACACACACACACAATTACAGATTGTGGTCATATCAGTGTCATCAGACAGCTGTTCTGTTCCAGGCAGAAGATCTGATGCCAGATTGTTATGAGGACATTTACAGTCATGCTTTATCAACTTTGCCTAGCTATCTACCTATAAAAGACAAACTGAAACCAAAACCCTACCCCAAAAATTCTGAATTAATAGAATTATATCAAAACCTTATATTTAAAACCATTATTTATTAATAATGATACATTTGAGGACATTCCCAATAAAACAGGTTTCATTTATTTATTTATATATTATTTATATTTATATAAACACGCGCACACACACACACACACACACATATATATATTTTAAATACATGCATTCAGCAAGGACGCATTAAATTGGTTAAAGATAACAGTCAGGAACCTTACATTGTTACAGAAGATTTCTGTTTTCAAAAATGCTGTTCTTTTATTTTATTTATGCTGTTCTTTGCTATAAGAAGGATTTCTGAAAGATCATGTGACTGAAGTAATGGAGTAATGACTGCTGAAAATTCAGCTTCGCTATCAGAGGAATAAAGTGCATTTATATAATGTAATTATTTATGCAATATGTAATTAATGTATATTTTTGTAATAATATTTAACAATTTTACTGTTCTACTGTATTTTGATCAAATAAATGCAGCCTTGTTGAGCATAAAAGACGTTGTTTAAAAACATGAAAAAATCTTACTGGCCCAGACCTTTAATTAGTAGCGTGAGAAGATAGATAGATAGATAGATAGATCATAGTTTTATGTCTTGAAAAAGATAAATCAGTAACAAAAATCGAAAAGGAATATATAACATCTGCTGTGCCACAGGCGGCTGCTGATACTAAACAGCAGTTCACAGTTCACATGCTGTGCCCAGAAGCTGTAGCCCACAGCAAGTCCTAGTAAACCCCACTTTTCATGATCTTGTATTGATGGCGTGCTTGCTAACAGCATTTATCGTTTCTTCCAAACGCCATGAGCCGAATATGCATCAGACATCTCCCTTGAGACACTGATGTGAAGGAAGGCTGAACAGCTCTATACACCGACACAGCAAACACACATACACAAACATACATGAAGACACAGCATCCGTGTACCCTTAGCCTCACCCCAGGCTATCTAGAGGGAGCCAGGCTCAGAGGGGGTTGCCATGGAGACCCATTTACTGTGCTCTGTTCCCCCTGTGCACTGTGGCCAGATGATTGCCCCCCTCAACTCAAGGGATCACAACATACACACACACATGCATCACAAATACTTTCATGTACACACACATGCACACACACACACACACACACACACACACACACACACACACACAATTACAGATTGTGGTCATATCAGTGTCATCAGACAGCTGTTCTGTTCCAGGCAGAAGATCTGATGCCAGATTGTTATGAGGACATTTACAGTCATGCTTTATCAACTTTGCCTAGCTATCTACCTATAAAAGACAAACTGAAACCAAAACCCTACCCCAAAAATTCTGAATTAATAGAATTATATCAAAACCTTATATTTAAAACCATTATTTATTAATAATGATACATTTGAGGACATTCCCAATAAAACAGGTTTCATTTATTTATTTATATATTATTTATATTTATATAAACACGCACACACACACACACACACACACACATATATATATTTTAAATACATGCATTCAGCAAGGACGCATTAAATTGGTTAAAGATAACAGTCAGGAACCTTACATTGTTACAGAAGATTTCTGTTTTCAAAAATGCTGTTCTTTTATTTTATTTATGCTGTTCTTTGCTATAAGAAGGATTTCTGAAAGATCATGTGACTGAAGTAATGGAGTAATGACTGCTGAAAATTCAGCTTCGCTATCAGAGGAATAAAGTGCATTTATATAATGTAATTATTTATGCAATATGTAATTAATGTATATTTTTGTAATAATATTTAACAATTTTACTGTTCTACTGTATTTTGATCAAATAAATGCAGCCTTGTTGAGCATAAAAGACGTTGTTTAAAAACATGAAAAAATCTTACTGGCCCAGACCTTTAATTAGTAGCGTGAGAAGATAGATAGATAGATAGATAGATCATAGTTTTATGTCTTGAAAAAGATAAATCAGTAACAAAAATCGAAAAGGAATATATAACATCTGCTGTGCCACAGGCGGCTGCTGATACTAAACAGCAGTTCACAGTTCACATGCTGTGCCCAGAAGCTGTAGCCCACAGCAAGTCCTAGTAAACCCCACTTTTCATGATCTTGTATTGATGGCGTGCTTGCTAACAGCATTTATCGTTTCTTCCAAACGCCATGAGCCGAATATGCATCAGACATCTCCCTTGAGACACTGATGTGAAGGAAGGCTGAACAGCTCTATACACCGACACAGCAAACACACATACACAAACATACATGAAGACACAGCATCCGTGTACCCTTAGCCTCACCCCAGGCTATCTAGAGGGAGCCAGGCTCAGAGGGGGTTGCCATGGAGACCCATTTACTGTGCTCTGTTCCCCCTGTGCACTGTGGCCAGATGATTGCCCCCCTCAACTCAAGGGATCACAACATACACACACACATGCATCACAAATACTTTCATGTACACACACATACACACACACACACACACACACACACACACACACACACACACACACACACACACACACACACACACACACACAGTGTATTGCCAGACAAGCCAACAAAGCTGCTGTACTTGTCCTTTTGATTCAGGCATTCTTCACAAAATAAAAGAGTGCATAATACATTTAAACTTACTTATGTGTGTAGACAAGCTCTTTTTAGCTTGTTATCAGATTTTTGCCTTTTTATTAATAGGCACAGTAGATTCAGGCCAGATTCAATCCTATATATACATACTTTTTTTTCTTCAGTATATACAGATCAAAGACTTCGAAGAAGTTCTTCAATGCAGATTATTTTTGTTACACAATCTGATTACATTTGCTTCAATTATTTTGAAAGAATCATAAACATTTACAAAAATATATATAAAAAAAATGTATATTGCTTATGCTTGCCAAGGCTACATTTATTTGATCGAAAATGTAAAAAACAATATGTGTGTGTGTGTGTATAAATATTTTAAAGAATGGTTTCTATTTAAATGTAACTTTAACTTATTTCTGTGATGGCAAAGCTGAATTTTCTGAATTACCCTGATTTAGTGCTCAAGAAACATTTCTTGTTGTTATCAATTTTGATAACAGTTGTACTGCTTAATATTTTTTAAATAGAAAGTTCAAAAGAACAACATTTATTTGAAATTATACATGTCTTTAATGTCACCTTTGGTCAATTTAATACATCCTTGCTAAATAAAAATATGAATTTTATAAATGAATGAATGAATGATGACCCCTGATTTTTAAATTAAAAGACAATTGGAGAACTGTTTTCACTTTAATCGAATATTATGCATCAATTATTGAATAATCTAAATTCTATAATCAAAAATAATATATCAACCTTTTCAATAACAGTCTTACATTTTTTTTATTTTTGATAAAAAAAAACATTGTACAGTTTATTACCAATAAAAAATAAAGGATAACATCATGCTGACAAACTAATAACCCTTTTTGGGTGTTAAAGGGATAGTTCACCCAAAAATGTTTCTTTACTCACCCTCAAGTTTTTTCAAACCAGTATGAGTTTATTAATTTTTTTTTTAAAGAATTTGTGTAACCAAACAGTTGACAGTAGCCATTGACTTCCATTGTATGGAAGAAAAAAATACTATGGACATCAAAGGCTACTAAACTATCCCTTTAAGTAGGCAGTGGAATATATGTAACAGATTTGCATATCATGTATCATGATTCTCTGTGTGAGTGTGCAGTTTGAGACAGTCTCTGTAACATGGTGTTGTTATTATTATTATAGTCATCATGATTGATTATTAAATTTATGCATGCAATTTTTTTATCATATTTATGTAGTTTTACACCCCTAGTTGAAAAACCATTAAAAAAAACAATGATTTAATCGCTCTCTCATTTAGTTGGGGTACTCAAGGAGACTTCACAACCACTCATCCACTTCCAGCAGTAAAGGTGAAACTCTTCACTGAGAGCACAGGAGTGCTGGCACTGGAGGACAAAGAGCTGGGACGGGTCAGAAACACACACACACACACACACACTGAACCCATCACAACTCATTCTAGCCCATACTCTCACAGCTCTTTAAGCAGTCAGCACTGATCTGAGCTCAGTTCTGCCATGAGGAGGTGATCGGCTCCAAAATGAGCAGCCCCCCTGCGTGCCTGTAGCTGTTCTAATGGATTTGATCCAGTGCTGAGTCAATGAGGCATATCGTCTCTCTATTCCACTCTTTCTCTCTCTCTCTCTCTCTCTCTCTCTCTCTCTCTCTCTCTCTCTCTCTCTATCACTCATTCTCTCTAAACAATAAGCCTGCACTAATATAAAAACAGAAAGATAAGGTGCTGATGTCGGCTCTTATGCAAATGATAGATGACTTCAAAGTGAAGTGAGAGATAGAGAAAATAATGGGATCCAATGTGTGATAAATCAGAACACTGCTGGGAATGGAAAGCTGCGGTATCCTGCTTTTTTCATTGCCATATTTGAGCTAGCTATGCAATATACAGTATAGCCACTGTATTTTTACTCTAATTTAAAACTATTTTGATTTCAAATTGAATTATCAGCATAACAGTGAAAAGTTAAAATTAATTTTATGTCTTAATATTTGGTATGTCCACTTTTGCTTTAATGACAGCTTAGCAATAGTGCAGAATCTTACATATTTATTATAAAATTTATATTATTATAGAATTTCAGTGTGGTCTATTTTTTATATTTTGAAGTTAAAATAATGTTCATGCAATGTTCATAATGTGATTCCAGGTTTTATTGCATCCAACACCCAATAGTCCCAAACAATGTGAGCTCCATAAAATTACTGTTGCCAAAGGTTGCCCAGATGACCTGAAGATCAAATTGGCTGTCCGTATGGACAAACCACAGAACATGAAGCACTGTGGGTAAGTGACATCCTCAAAATTTTAATTTCTGATTTTGCTGTTAAGATTTGCTGAAGGTGAAATCTGCTGACATGGACAATCAGTTCTACACTGACCCAAAACTGAACAGAGTTCAATAAGTTGTTGAATAGTATCAATATGCACAGGCTCAAAACAGCCTATTTCACCAACACTGAAAGGCAAGAATTATAAACTGGTTCAATGAACATGTGGCCTCACCACTCTTGTGATCTCTTGACTCCACCTAGTGGATACAGTAGCAAATTATTAACAACAGATGCATATGATGAACGAGATCTGTATCAGTAAATCCTGTACAATATAAATGGATTAATTTTACAATATAAATATTTTAAGATTTTAAAAGTATATAAACATATTTAAAACACAATAATTTATAAAGGTGATAAGACATGAATAAACATGATGAAATATTTAAATGTATTACTAAATTATTAAATAGATTTTTTTTTTGTATGTTTTAAGCATGAATGTAAAAAATAATGCAAACAATTTGCCAATGGGGTAGAACATATTTAATTCAGTATATTTTCATCTGTCTTTGTCTTGTGAAATGTGTATCCTTATTTTAAGGATATATATATATTTTTTTCATTATGTTTTTATTTTTACTAGAAAAGAAGGCAAAATACTGAAAACCATATGTATGTAACTTTTAATGCAAGTATGTCATGCTCACCAAGGCTGATTTTATTTGATTAAAATACAGAAAAAAAACCCTTTAAAAAGTTATATTGTAAAATATTATTACAATTTAGAATAACTGTTTTTTTGTTTTAATATACCGTACTTTAAAATATAATTTATTCCTGTTGTGCAAAGAAACCTGTGGAAAAGATGGAAGAAGAGATTCTTCGTCTTGGTGCAGGTATGTGCTTTTTCACCTTGGTGGGACTTCTGATGGAGACCTTTTTCTCCCCTTTTGATTCAGAATTTTTTTATCGAGTGCTGTGCATTTCCATTTCTATTGTATATGTCAAAACTGCTCCAGTGAAGTAGACTAGATTCCCGACTCTCTCTGATCGAGCACTGTGTCAGGTACTTCGATGGAGCCTTTTTTATTTCTGTCTCAATTGTTTGCTGTTCAGTCAGCTCCTCTGTGGCGGGTTGTAACATGTCTGAGAGCTAAAAGTTGACAGGCGGCTTGACAGAGTAAAGGACCAGCACTCGCAGCTAAAAGAGCCCACATCACACGCCCACCAGTCGCTCGCAGCTACGGCTACAGCAAGTGACAAACAACAGTCAATACACTGACATTATTTATTTACCTTAGTGTTTGCGTGCGTGCGTGTGTGTCTGTGTGCTTGTGTGCATGCAAGCGAAAAACATTACACGATGCCCCCTTTGTGTTTTCGAATGTCAGTGTGGGTAAGAAAATATGCCAGAATGCGCTTTTTGTGTCTGTGCTTTTTGTTTGTTTGATTTTGTTGGTTTTCACAACTTTTTGTTTGTTTGTTTCCTTTCTGCATTTTGTTGTTTCTTCTCTGTTAAATCCTGTGTATTCACGCAAATGTCAACACATCCATCTGTGTAATCCTCGTAAATGTTAACATAAACATGCTCCAGAATACGTTGTGGCATCTTTAATGTTTTATTTAGATTTAAAAATATATATACATTTATACATTTTAAAAATATATAAATTTTATACCACATACACAGTGAAATACTGAATTTTAATACAATATTTAGTATAAACCAACAACCCTCCAATATAAGACCTATATTATAAAATCTACGCTGTAAACATTTTTTGTGAGCATAAGGTGCATTATGCATTTTTGCCTAAATTATTGAAAAAATATAATTTAACCTGAATAAATCAATGTAATTACATTAGTTTACATCATCAGGCATTTTAAGGGTCAGATCATGCAGCAGTAGCTCCAAAATTAGCTAAATTTATATGATGCGTGCCGACCCTGTTATTAACATCAAAGTAACCATTTTTTTGTATTTTTATATACACTACCGTTCAAAAATTTAAAGGGAGGTAGGATTTTTTTTTTTTACTTTTGAAAGAAGCCTTTTATGTTAACCATTTATTTGATTGCAAATACATTAAAAAAAGATAGTGTTGTGAAATGTTATTGCAATTAAATATTTGACCCTGGACCACAAAAAAGAAAAACATCAAAATTATGGACTTTTCTTTTATGCCAAAAATCATTAGGATATTAAGTAAAGATCATGTTCCATGAAGATATTTTGTAAATTTCCTATCATAAATATATTAAAACTTAATTTTTGATTAGTAATATGCATTGCTAAGAACTTCATTTGGACAACTTTAAAGGTGATTTTCTCAATATTTCGATTTTTTTGCACCCTCAGATTCCAGATTTTCAAATAGTTGTATCTCGGCCAAATATTGTCCTATCCTAACAAACCAGCCATCAATGGAAAGCTTATTTATTCAGCCCTTATGACTGGTTTAGTGGTTCAGGGTCGCATACATTCTAAAACATCCACAAAGCTGAATTTTCAGCAGCTATTACTCCTGTCTTCAATGTCACATGATCATTCAGAAATCTTTCTAATATTCTGATTTGCTGCTCAATAAAACATTTCTTCTTATTATTAATGTATATCAGTGAATAGAAATATCAAAATAACAGCTTTTTTTTAAATATAATTTAAAAATGTCTTTACTGTCATTTTTCAATCAATTGAATGCCTCTTTGCTGAACATACATAAATATTTAGTATGCAGGATGTGCTATCTATGAGTGACCAGAGTTTGATTGACACTGAATGATTCTATGTAAATGCCCCTGCATTATGGGGCTTGTGTTACAGGGTGGGTGTGAGTTCACTGTTGCATTATTCATAGATTACTACCACACCATGTAGACCATTTAGGGCTCTTGTTTGACACAGGCTGGCTTTGAAACAAGGTGTCACGAAAAGGTTGTGACAGAGTTCCCCGTGGCTCCACCCTGCCATTTCATTTCTACAGTTTGTATCAATTTTAACATCTCTATCCTTTATAGAGCACTGATAAGCAGTCATATAAATTATATAGCAGCCGAATCGTCTGTCTTCGTGCCTCTAAATGCTCTTGTTGTCAGTAAGTTGACAGCATAAGGCCAGCATTATGATTCAAACTGAAGTCTAATTATTTTACGGTCGGTAGGCGATGTGACAAAACAGCGGGCAGACGCTCTGTGCTCGCTTCCTCTTTCCCCTCATCTCGTCTCCGATGCTCTGGCTCAGGCATTCAGCCTTACGCATCTGAATATGGTAATGCGTTCGAGTGACCGGGAGGGGCTCAGGTTGTGTGTCTGGCATTCGGCTTTATATTTCCAGCGTTAGTGATCGATTTGCGCCCGCTCTCCCGCTCGCTTCATCCACAATGCAATTGGCAGAGCATCGACAATAACAAGGTTATTTAAAAGAGCAAAAGCATGCAGGGGTAATCAGAAAGCAAAGTCATTTAAAATCCTTTAACTGTCGGTTTGACAGCGGGTCAATGGCCCCGCCAGCGACCGCTCCGGCTTCTGACAGGCCCGGACTTCAGCGGATTGATGGGAGGTTGTGCGTGTATACATGTGTGTGCGAGCGTGGGGGGTGCGTGTGCCCCGGTGGCGTCCCGAAGGCACCTGGGTGCCACCAAGCCAGATTGGGGCCCCGAAGCCAGCCCAAGTGCCCATCACACACATGACATTGAATTTATCATGTCACTCGGAGACGTAGTGAGGGAGGGCTGCTACTTTCAGCAGAGGTGATGGAGGCGCTGGATTGGTGCAATGCTGCGGATGAGGCCGGAGAGCGTCTTGTGTGTGTGTGTGTGTGGAATGTGTGTATGACTGGCACCTAACTGCACGACTCGCATCCAGAGTGACAGCGTGTCATCCCACACTCTTCTGTCAGTCCCGTTTGATTGGCAGGACAAAACCTTACAAGTCCAACCGTACACCGTCAGTGACCGAGACAGCCTCCCTCTGAGTTGCCACCCTCCGTTTGAACCCTATCACTAGCCTGAAGTAGATATTTCTGTTCGGGTTTTGCCTTTCTAGTTCTTAATAGTGTAATTCACGATTTGTGTTTAATGTGCCAATATTCTTTCCAGGTCAGCCAGTACACCTTTGCCATGTGTAGCTACAGGGAGAAGAAAGCAGAACCTGTTGAACTTCTCCAACTGGACGGATACACTGTGGATTACACCGACCCTCAGCCAGGTCACTGCAGCCAATCGGATTGCTACAGTCAATGATGTCACAGTGAATATAGTCTTCACCTGTTCTACCCACCTTGTTTTATTTGTAGTTTGAATGACCGAGGCTTCCGATGTCAATTGCTTCCAGTTATTTTATCTGTACCAAAGTAGCCCATTATGCTGCTTGATATTGCAAACTGGTATTTGTTATCATATTTTTTTCATATTTATTTATTGTTGTAATGATAAACATATAGCACATAGTTTTTTTCCCAAAGTCTTGTGCATTCACAAAAAGCATTGCAAAATAAGCTGGATAGAAGTACCTGTTAGACCAGCAGGTGGCATGTGTTTCTAGGACCCATACACATTAATTCCCAAAGAATAGGTGACTCATTTTATTAGTGTTAAACAAACACAGGTAATTAACAAGTTAAGATCAATAATCTTTCATTGAAACCTTCTGTATCTTTGCATAAAACATTATGCACACTGTACACGGGTTATCTAAATCTCTAATATTCATCGGTGTTGCATAGTGTCTGTGCAGTAATGTTTTATGAAGAATGTTTTATTTTCATGTGGTCTGAAATTTGACTAATGAAGCATTTATAGTCTATGCGTAATCAAGCACTGCATGCTAAATATTGTGACATAAATGGAATAAATTAAAACAATTATATCAATATAAAGCAATATTGGTTCATTTAAATCAATTACAGTGTAAACATTGTTTGTGAGATAACCAAAAAATGTGATTCAGGTGGCCACATCTGTATTAACTGAATAATAAAGTAAAAATATTGTTTAACATGGTTGAATCAACCTTACTACCTTAGGTTGCACCAACAAAAGCAATTACTATGTTTTTAAAATCAGATTCTACACATCAATATTGATTAAAGCGGCCATGCAAATAATATTAATAATTTTACAGCATTTATTCTATAAAATAGCAACATTATTGTTATTATTATTATTAACTAATTATTAATATAATAGGATACAATAATATTGATAAATATGTATTCATCTTCATTAATAAATACGTAATCTTGTAATTTGTAATTTATAAATACACTATTACTAAATATTCACAGATCATCTCAGTTCATGATGCAATAAAATTAATGTCAATTTAAAATATTTGATATAATTGAAATACTTTCTACATTAGGCTGCAGATTCTGTGAACATATTGACTAATGTTTTGGCTATCATGCAACTATTATTTAGCAATATATATATATATATATATATATATATATATATATATATATATATATATATATATATATATATATATATAT